GATAGCATTAAATGCTTTTTATTATGATAAAATGTGTCTAGCCTAGGTCTCATTTTCTCTAAACCTATTGCTTGAGTCCCAGGTTGAAATGTACTTCTCATATCTGGCCTTATATCATGCCCTAGGACGGTGGATCCATTTATTTCCTCATTCTATTATAAGCTTCTCAGGAGTAGGTATAGTATCCTTGCCCCCAGACCAGGCCCCAATACACAGTAGCCACTCAATAAATATATAGTAAACTGAACTGAACCATTTTCAAATAAAGGGTCATCTGTGGTAACCACACTAGAGTTGTTTGTTTCCAGCACTCAGAATTAAATATGCTTTAAAACATGGCATGAGTGAAAAATGCACCAGATTTAGAATCAAAGGACTTGATTGAGTTCACATCTTGTCCTATCATCTGTTCTTCTGTTTGAAGTGCAGGTAAATAATTCCCATTTCACACCATTTTTGCAGATGTGGAAAATTCTGGTGTATATTCAATAAGTATTAGTTTCCTTTCTGTATTACTGCTTTACTTCTTTTTTTTTTTAAATTAAATCTTTATTGTTCAGGTTACATTTGTTCCTCTTTTTTTCCCCCCTATAACTCCCCTCCTCCCAGTTCGCGCCCCACCCTCCGGGTGCACGATTTTTGTCCAGTTTCTTCCCGCATCTCCCATTCCCCTTTCCCCGCCAAGAATAGTCAGTCCATTCCCTTTCTATGTCCCTGATTCATTATAATCACCAGTTCATTCTGTACATCAGATTATTTATTCACTTGGTTCTTAGATTCACTTGTTGATAGATGCATGTTTGTTGTTCACAATTTGTATCTTTACCTTTTTCTTCTTCCTCTTCTTAAAGGATACCTTTCAGCATTTCGTATAATACTGGTTTAGTGGTGATGAACTCCTTTAGCTTTTCCTTATCTGTGAAGCTCTTTATCTGACCTTCAATTCTGAATGATAGCTTTGCTGGATAAAGTATTCTTGGTTGTAGGTTCTTGGTATTCAGCACTTTGAATATTTCTTGCCATTCCCTTCTGGCCTGCCAAGTTTCTGTTGAGAAATCAGCTGACAGTCGTATGGGTATTCCCTTGTAGGTAATTGAGTCTCTTTCTCTTGCTGCTTTTAAGATTCTCTCTTTGTCTTTTGCTCTTGGCATTTTAATTATGATGTGTCTTGGTGTGGTCCTCTTTGGATTCCTTTTGTTTGGGGTTCTCTGCGCTTCTTGGACCTGTAAGTCCATTTCTTTCACCAGGTGGGGGAAGTTTTCTGCCATTATTTCTTCAAATAGGTTTTCAATATCTTGCTGTCTCTCATCTTCTGGCACCCCTATTATTCTGATGTTTGTACGCTTGAAGCTGTCCCAGAGGCTCCTTACACTATCTTCGTATTTTCGGATTCTTTTTTCATTTTGCTTTTCCGGTTGGGTGTTTTTTGCTTCTTCGCATTTCAAATCTTTGGCTTGATTCTTGCGCTCCTCTGGTCTGCTATTGGGTGTCTGTATAATATTCTTTATTTCAGTCCGTGTATGCTTAATTTCTAGTTGGTTCTTTATCATAGCATCGAGGGTCTCATTAGTTTTCGTGACTCTCTCCTCAAGTTTATTGACAGCTTCTAGCACATTTTTGCAAGCCCTCAAAATTGCGATTTTTAGCTCTATATCCTCCATTTCTGTCATGTTTTTTTGTCTCCGCATTTTTTATGCTTTCTTGGTGCACCCCCTAGTGGTCTTTGTGCGCAGTCTTGTTCTAGTTGAGCCTTGATTGTTGTAGTTAATACTAGAGGGATTTGACCACCAGGCCGACTGGCTGTGTGAATCAGCTGTGTCTGCCGCGGAAAACTTCTGTCCTCTGGGGAGGTGCTAATCTAGCCTTTGCCTGAGGCGATCTGGCAAATGGCTCTGCGCAGGGCTTGGGCGGGGCGGGCTCAACAGGGCGGGCGGAGGGAGCCGTTATGGTGCCCTCAGTCCTGTTCCCAGAGGCTCTGCTTCTCAGAACCCCCGGAACCGCTGCAAACCTCGGAGGGAAAGCTGCCTTCCAACTGATGCCAGACACTCCCGCTTCTCCCGTTTGGGTCCGAGTCCCCAGCGATTCGCCCGTATCTGGAGCTCAGAGTCTGAGACTCCCCCCTGACCGAAAACGACAACCGCGCTCTCAGCCACCAGCCCGCTTTGCGCGCGCACCTCCGCACCTGAGTTTTTTCCACACTGCGCCTCCTCTGAGCCTCGGTGTGCTGTTATTTTTCCTTCTAGTTGAAGAGTCTCTCCTCAGCCAGCCTTCCTGTGGTTCTGGGTGATGTCCGTTCCGTCTTTTAGTTGTATTTTTGAAGTGGTTGTTTGCGGCAGCAGTCTCCAGTGTTTACCTATGCCGCCATCTTGGTCTCTCCTGCTTTACTTCTTTTTATGACCTTTAGTGATTTGAAATGATTATTGTTACCAGTGAAACTTCAAATCTATAGATACCTCCTTATCCCAGTTAAATTGAGGTCTAGTATTAGTTATTTTTCCTGAACTGAACTTCAAAATTATTATATAAAATAGATAACACAATCTTTCCTTTTCATCCTCATAGGTTACTCAACTCCCTTGAACTGTTTATATTCAGAACATATTTCTTTTCTTTTATTGCCACAGGCATGAGAGGACCTTTACTTTGTTCATATTATCTAAAGAAATCTGTCTTCTGCCATCTTTTTGTAGTTTGTTTTCACCAGAAAGCATCTACTTTAAGAAATATTTTCTTTGCCTGCATTTTATTATTCCACTATATGTCCCTTTTTAATGCTTTTGTTTGGATATTAGAACCTGTTGCTTGAGTTCTTTTGGTAATAGGCTTAGGGCTCTGCAGTAACACAAAATTTATTGTAGAAGTAAGTCATGTGGAGTTCAGCAGTACTCTCTAATCAGTGGGTTCCAAGCTCTTAAGTGTGTATTATAAACACAAGTATATATAAGTAATATAGAAAAGCAACTGAGACAGATATAGCTGATGCTGACAAGGAAAAAGGAATGAAACACCTACATTTTGTTTATTATACAATGAAATAGCAACTACAAACTACAGAAAGAGTACTTAGAGGAAAATTCTAAGTAATGGGCATTTATCGGTATGAGAAAACTCGGGCTAGATGGAAAAGAAAAGCTGCTCAGATGTGGGAATAGCCAAAGGATGAACTGAGCTACAAACGGATGTGATCAATGTCACTAGAGACAAAGTATCTGAGTTTCAACTTAACATTGTGAGGATGGGAATAATGAAATCAATTTGTCATAAAGTAGCAGGCATGAGTCAGTGACTCACAAGAGATCCCTGTTATCACACATTATTCTTTGGTTATGTGCCTCCCTAAAGACTGGAAGCGAAGTGTGCCACAGTGCTTTTGTATTGGATTCAGGCTGCACCTTCATACCCTGACCCATCTCACCTTCAACCTATTCTCTGAATTCAGTTCAAATTAAAACCTTGGAGACTTTTGGTGGAAAGATTCATGACTAACAGGAAAAACACTTTGAATATTTGGAACCTCAGAAGAAATGCATTTGGTTTTTGCCCTGTTTGTCACAATCATGAAGATACTTACATTTTGGTGGAAATAAAAGAGAACCTTAGGGTCTTGTTTCCTAAGTTGGAAATAAAGTCATCTGAGTTGGCAAATCTTGGTGAACAGTTACAATACTGACCTCAGGCCCTTTTGTATCCATGTTGCTTGCATTTGGGCTACAGTTAGCTTCTGTCATTACTAGAGACAGAACACTGTTTGACAGTTTGCACAAAGAAAAGAAATTGATAGAACTCCTTCATATGTTTCTGCTTCTAGATCTCTCTTTCAGTATAACTATTTTAAAAATAAAATAAGTAGGGCTCTTATGACATGTACATTTGATTTCATGGTTTTTAAGTTATCAGTTTTAGATTTTTATGAGGATACCACTACTTACATTTCACATTGGTTCAAAAAAGTTATTTCTGTGCTTTTGTCAGCCACTGTGTATGTAAAGCTAGACCTCTTGCTCTTGAAGACCTTGCAGTCTACTGGAGGAAAATATGAAGATAATTCCTCAAAAGAATGACAAGAAAAGCCACAGGCTGGGAGAAAATATTTGTGAAAAACATCTCTGTTCAAGGACTACTATATAGGTTCATTGATTGTAATAAATGTGCTACTCTGGCACAGGAGGGTGAAGCTATGCATGTGTGGAGTCAGGGTATACATGGGGACTCTGTACTTCCCACTCAATTTTGCTTTGAACCCAAAACTGCTCTAAAAAACAAAGCCTTTAAAAATAATAAAGCCAGTGAATCATACTATGAGAGAGGATTTTAAGAAGAGTAGTAGTGTAGAAAAGAGGCAGCTTATCCTAGGGAGGTTTTGGAGAAGACTTCCCAGAAGGCACGACTTTTAGAATGGGCTTTAAAGTATAAGTAGAATTTTACTTCTAGGAAGGTGCATGGAGGAATTACAGGTGTAGAAGGAGATGAAAGGAAGAGAAGAAGGAGGTTAATAGGAAGGGAGAAAAGGAGCAGGAGGAGGACATACTCTGTGAATGGCCTGTAATTTCAAATGAAATTATTTTGTTGTAAACATAGGCATGTCATTGGACTAGTGGGGCGAGTTGGGAATTTTAGTCCTTTTATCAGCCATGCTGATGAGTTTGGAGTCTCTCTCTGGAACAAGCCATTGGCTGTTTGCAAAGAATAGAAAAACTAATATCTATTGTGTGCTTACTTTGTGGTTGTTTTTGTTAAGGATTATCACATGTAATCCTCACAATACCCCCTGAAGTTGAACATTATTGTCTCAGTTTGCCACTGAAGAAACGAAGACAAAGAGAGGTTAAATAACTGCGCCAGCTCACAGCTAATCAGGGGCAGAGCTGAGACTCAAATCCGGACATCATGATGTCAAAACTCACATGACCAGCACACTTGAGAGGTGCTTTGGGAGAAACATTCAAAGAGAGAGTAAATGAATGCAGATCAGATGTCATTGTTCATTGTTTGTTTTTCAGGTGTCTACAAGGAAATAGCCCAGCGGCTGCAATCAACTGCAATCCCATCAACACCTTCATGATGTTTCCCTTGGCTAGAAATATATTGAGAAGTGTCAAGATTCGAAGCTTTCAGCAAATAAGGGCAAGACAGAGCCACAAGAAGCACTCCCCAGATTTCCATGACAAATATGGTGACACTATACTAGCCAGTGGCTCCATTTTCTGTGTTGTTGCATGGTTATTTACAGCTACACAGATTGGAATAGTATGGAACCTGTCCCCTGTTGGCAGAGTCACTCCAAAAGAATGGAATGATAAGTAACCATCACAGTTACTGTAACACAGAATTGTCTCAAAATCAACCTTTCATTTAAGCACTCTGCTGCTCATTTAAATGTAGCATAATTTAAAAATTAAAATACATTGAAACCTTTAAAGCCATTGAAAGTAGTTATTATAATGCCTGGAAACATGGTTGTAAGAGTGGATATAGATTATAGGGAATTAGGAATAACAAATATTTGAAAGGAGTTTAATAAAGCATCTGTGCTTCTGGCTTAATGATTTACACTAGGTACCCTCAGTGGATATATACACATATGTACCCTAGGAATAGTCTGGCAAATCCTGATGAATCTTTCTTAAAACATATTCACGATCTGACCATTTAACATCCTTCAGCTTTCTCTCCCTGATATGAACCACCACACTCTCCCTGGGATTATTATAAAAACTTTCTAGCTGGTTTCCTTGCGTCTACACTGATGTCCCCCCAAGCCTGCCCCCTCTACCCTGCCATACATAATCGTTGCTTTTTAAACGAAAGCCAAGTTTATTTGTTCATTTCTTGCATTTGAAGTATTCCTCGATGACATCCTTTGCCTGAGACTCTTTGCCATAGTCCTTAACCACCACGCAACTGCAACCAACCACTTTACGGGGTTTTCCCTCTCTGTCGATTTTACAGAGGCCTACCCATTCCCCTAGTTTCTTGTCGTCAACCTTAAGTTGATTTGGTGTTCATCACAAAGAGCCTCCACCAACTTGACGTACATAGGCTCATCACAGTTGGATGCAAGTACACAAAGGTGGGCTTGGCGCTTGTCTAAGGCTTTGGCAGCTTCGCGAGTTGCGTGCGCTCAGCCATCGGGGATGAGGGCGGTCTTCAGCACCTCTTGCAAAGCAGTATTAACGTCCATTACACCTCCAGCAGCAATGCCTTCCTCGGCCATGGCGGTGGGTTATGGGTGGAGCCGAATCTTGAACGCACCCAAGCCTCCGCCTCCGCGCAACTCTGCAGCAGCAGGGAAAGAGACCCATAATCGTTAAGCACAGTAGCCAGAACAATCATTTAAAAACATGATATCACTCCTTTTTTCAAAACTCAATGACTTTTAAAGTTATATATATGCTAGAGGTCCGATGCATGAAATTCATGCATGGGAAGGGGGTCCCTCAGCCTGGCCTGCACCCTCTCCAATGTGGGACCCTCCTGCAGTGATTGGGCCTAAACTGGCAGTCGGACATCCTCTCGCAATCCGGGATCGCTGGCTCCTAACTGCTCACCTGCCTGCTGGCCTGATTGCCCCTAACCGCCTCTGCCTGCCAGCCTGATCACCCCCTAACTGCTCCCCTACCAGCCTGATCGTCCCCTAAATGCTCCCCTGCCAGCCTCATTGCCCTCTAACTGCTCCCCTGTCGGCCTGATGGCCCCTAACTGCCTCTGTCTGCTGGCCTGGTTGCCCCCTAACTGCTCCCCCCTGCCAGCCTGATCACTCCCTATCTGCTCTCCCCTGCCGGCCTGATCACCCCTAACCTCCTCTGCCTTGGCCCCCTACCACTGTGGCTTTGTCCAGAAGATGTCTGGTCTAATTAGCATATTACCCTTTTATTAGTACATATACACTGAGTGGCCAGATTATTATGACCACCCCATCAGTGTACTTCATTGGGACACCTTTTGCCTTCAATACTGTGGCGATTCTTGGCATTGACTCCATGAGATGTTGAAAGGTGATGCGAGGAATCTGACACCATGCCTGATGAATAGCACTGTCCAGTTCTGTGAGATTTGATGGTTGTGGAACCAGCTGCCTGATGGCTCTTTTAACTTCGTCCCACAAATGCTCAATTGGATTGAGATCTGGTGATTGTGGGGGCCACCTAAGCAAGGTAAAATCTCCCTCATGTTCTTGAAACCACTCCTGCACAATACGAGCACCGTGGCATGGCGCATTGTCTTGTTGGAAGAAGCCATCTCCATTGGGATACGCCATCCACAAGATAGGATGAACCTGATCAGCAATGATACTTAGGTATGTTGTGCTATTCAGACGTTGTTCCACACGAATTAAAGGGCCCAAATCATGCCAGGAAAACATGCCCCAAACCATAACACTGCCCTCACCAGCTTGAAGGGTTGTACTCATGCATGTGGGGTGCATGCTTTCATGCTGTTTCCGCCAAATTCTCACTCTGCCATCTGCATGATGCAACTGGAAATGTGATTCATCGGACCACATGACTTTTTTCCAATGCTCGACTGTCCAATCCTTGTGTTCCTGTACGAATTGGAGACGTTTTATCTTGGTAACTGCAGACAGCAAAGGGGTTCGAACAGGCCTTTGACTAATTTGCCTACAAATGTCAGGTGGTCATAATCTGGCCACTCCGTGTATATATATGTACGATTTCAGAGAGGAAAGGAAAGGGGGGGGGGAGAGAGAAACATGAATAATGAGAGAATTATTGATCGGTTGCCTCCTACATGCCTCCCACTAGGGCTCTAGCCAGCGTCCCGGGCATGTGGCCTGATGGGGAATCGAACCTTGACCTGATTCACAGGTCGTTGCTCAGCCACTGAGCTACACTGGCCCGACAAAACCCAATGACTTTTATTTCACAGCAGAGTTAAAGCTAACATCCTGAGAAAGGTGCACAGGCCACTTAAAATTCGGTACTGGTTCATTTCACTCCTGCATCAAAACTTTTCCAATTGCTTTTTCTTCTGTTTGGGACACACTTCCTCCAGATCCTGTATGACTCACGCTCCCTCACACTTTTCAGGGGTTTGTTCACATATATTCTTTTCAGAGAAGGCTTTGGCTACCCTTTTAAAAATTGCAACCCCTCCCTGCCTGGTGGCTCAGTTGGTTAACTGTCGTCCCCTGCACCAAAAGGTTGGGGGTTCGATTCCCAGTCAGGGCAAATACCTAGGTTGTTGGTTCAATCCCTGGGGGTGTGTATGGGAGGCAGCTGATCAGTGTTTCTCTACTGATGTTTCTCTCCCTTCCTCTCCATCTCTCTCTAAAATCAAACATATCCTCTTGTGAGTTTTTTTTTTTTTAAATTGCAACTCCTACTTAAACCAGGCTTTTTCTTTCCTGCTTCCTTGCTTTATTTTTCTCCATAGAAATCATCATCTGGCATAAGATACATTTTATTGTTTATTGTGTGAAAAACTCTATAAAAGCATAGGTTCTGGACTGCTTTTTTTATGACTTTATCCCTATAACAAAGCCTGATAGATTAGGCCTTCAGTAATTATTAGATGAATTAATGGGTGCTTTAAAATAATTCAGGGCCCCTGTTAATCTGAAAATGATGAATTTGTTTACCACTGTAGGTTTGCAATGATTATAGGAGCACATATTCGTTATCTATTGCTATTTTACAAATTATCCCAAACTTAGTGGCTTTAAACAATAAGCATTAGCTCACAGTTTCTATGAGTCAAGGATCTGAGGATGACTTTGCTGGAGGTCTCTGGTTCAGGATCTCACACTTCTGCAATCAAAGCCTCAGACAGGCCTATAATCATCTCAAGGCATAGCTGAGGGAGGATCCCCATCCTGACTTTCTATGGAGCTATTGATTGGCCTTAGGACCTCGCTGGATGTTGGTTGGAAATATCAATTCTTTGTTATGTGCGTCTTTTCATAGGGGAACTCACAGTGTAGCAGCTGGCTTTCCTCAAAGTAAGAGAGGGTATCCAAGAAAGAGCCACAGTCTTTTTATAGCCTAATCTTGCAAGTAACATTCTATCACCACCACTACTTGAAGTTTTTTTTAAATATATATTTTCTTGATTTTTTGCAGAGAGGAAGGGAGAAGGATAGAGAGTTAGACACATTGATTAGAGAGAAACATCGATCAGCTGCCTCCTGCATACTCCCTCCTGAGGATGTGCCCGCAACCAAGGTACATGGCCTGGACTGGAATTGAACCTGGGACCCTTCAGTCCACAGGCCAATGCTCTATCCACTGAGCCAAACCAGTTAGGGCGAAGTGAAGTTTTTTTTGTTTTGTTTAGTTTTGCTTTTCTCACTAGAAGTGAGTCACTAAACCAGAGCCATACAAAAGGGGAGGATATTATACAAATCTATGATTATCTGAGGGTAGGGATGGTTGGGAATGTATAGGTTGCCAACCACAGTTGGCAATGGATATCACCTCTAAATGACTAACTTCAAGGTAACTGTGTTGTTCCTCAATCTCCAGTATATTATATTTGAATGCTATCATTATTCTCTAGATAAAGAATATTATATGTTTCTACCCATTTTTAGCCTGTGAAAGTTTCTCTAGGGTCCTTCCTACGTATAGAATTTGTAGGTCTTACTGAATACCCATTTTTAGCTTTATCAGTACTGCTAATTATTTCCCATAGTGATTAAATAGTTTAAATTCTCACCAACCAATGTCTACCACTTCCTCTTGGGATAATCCAAGCTCATTCTTAGAATTTTCAGTCATGTTAATATTTGCTACTTTGATGAGTGTGCAGTAGTAGTTTATGCTTTAATTTTTATTTCCCTGATTATTGAAGAGTTTGAACATCCTGTGTTAGCTTTTTGTTTTGTTTTTCTTTCATGTGCCTTTTCTGTTTCTTTTTCATTTCTATATTCAGTTCATCTTAGTTGTAGAAGTTTTTATATATTCTGCATACTAATTGTGTTAGGGATAGATCAGAGAATAGGACCCGTATAAGCAATATAGAATTATAGGATTAATTATGGGAATTAGAACTAATACTTAACTAAGTTTACACTTAGAAACCATAGTAATTTACCCTTTGTCAACTTGACATCAGTGTATATTTTTTTCTATATTTCCGATGAAAACAACAGCAAAACATGTTTTCACCTAACATCATGCAACTTTTCCTCTTAAAACTAACTCATGAATTCTCACAAAGTCCCTTTCCCATGGAAGGGTACCACTCTCAGCTTCCGGTCTAATGGACCCATTGCTGTGATCCCTAGTAGAAGACTGAGACTTGTAGACCAGCAAAACCCAAAGTCATGGAGGAGGAAACAAAAACTTCTCTAGTGGAGCACTAAGGGTAATTTTGGAGCAGCCGCTCCCAGATCCACTCTTGAATCCCAGTCCTATAA